AACTGACGAGCGTCAAAGTGTGTCGGCATTTATACACTTGCCATTGAATGTTCTAGCGTTATCGCTTCGGCGACATAGCTTCCAGAATAATCTGTAATGTTCATGCGGTGGGCATAATTTCAACAAAACGATCTACTACAGCCTCGAAGCTTTTCGAACATCGTAGGCGCGGTTTGTGCTGAACGTAGTATAACGGGATGATAACAAAACTTGAGGAAAGGAATGTGGCAATACGTTCATGTGCACTGTTCTTTTGAACACACGAAATCAGGTGCATATTAGATTGATGTAAATACATATCCTGAAGACTTACTTTTTGTCAAGTTGAGCCAAATAAATGCTTTTTCTTGTTATTTTTCTCCTACTGTAACTCTCCTTCATTAAGTGTTTCGAATAACATATTTGCATGCAACAGGCATCTTAGCATGTCTTTTTAGGGGGCACTTCTGCAGGGGTGCTACAGCCAAAATAGAAATTGGAGCAATTTGTGGAGCAGGAAAACTTTGCTTCTGGAGCAGATAAACCCAAATTTGGAGCAGATTACGGGAAAACATACCTCCATTTTGGAGCACAAAATTTCAAATTTGGAGCAGTTTAACAAAAAAATTTACTTTTTGCCATAAGATGACCTAAATAGCAATTAAACAACAGAGAACATTAGCACAAACATAATAACACACAGCTTTCACACCTACTAACAAGACAAAAACAAGTGATCTCGCATATGGCAAGAAGCTCATGAAACTTGATTAATACAGACATGACAACTTCACTAGTCCAATCACTCAACTTGACTAGTTCAGACACCATTCAACTTGACTAGTCTAGACACCACACATCAATGCTTTCTTTTTTTAGAAATCTCTTCGAACTCACTGAGCTTTTTAAGCGCGATCTCCAGGCTGGCGTTCCCCTTTGCCAACAGTACATGGCCAGTTGACACTTTATTCGTGTCTTTTTTTTTTTTACACCTGCGTTGATTATTTCTTCTGCCCTCGTGAGCAATGCCTTGCTGGCTGCCACTTGGTCCTCTAAAGCAGCTTTTGGTGCTTCGTGAGTGAGCTGCTCTACAAGGGGATCTTCCGTTGCCTTGCGCTTGCTCGAGCTTGCCTCGAGGCTCAATCTTTGCGCATACTTAGCCCGAGCTTGCCTCACACTCTTCAGCAAGTCAGGGTTGAGTGGCACCTTAGTCCCCGTCATAATGCTGAAGAAAGCTCTGAAGGAATCTCTGAAAGAAGCTAGCAGCACACCACTTGAGTCTCACCGCTTCGCTGCTGTCTCCAGATGCTTCTTTTGGCTTGCATGCCGCTTGACAGCGGCAGTGCCATGCTGCGCACAAGAAATTGTCACACTGCAAAGAATGAAAAAAGCCTCCGTGTCCTTTACACCTGGCTTGCACCACTTGCTGATAGCATCGTCGTTGTAATCCACTTCGTTTACGACCGACGCACTGAATTTCGTACTTCTCCCTGTAAGAAACAAAAAAATCATGAAAAGCCCATGCCATCGTACGTTTCCTCACGCAACGATCATCAGTTTAAAGTGGGCGTTCCTAGCGCCCGCACGAATTTATATTTTGAATCATTCATCCCGAAAACTGCAAATGAGTGGAACCACCTTCCCGCCCCTATCGCTGCTATCACTGACCTCACTTTGTTTAAAAACGCCCTCTCTAACCATTTCGCGTAAATTCGCCACTTATAAGTCACGCTGTGTTTTCTCTTGTTAGTTTTTTGTGTGCGCGTGTCACTCAAAGACGCAACCATGTTGAACATTGTTGTTACAACCACCCTGCCTCTTCTTCACATCACGCAGTCTTTCTTTTCTTTTATGGTTTTCAGATCGCCATTGTGCACATATAATTTTGATTTGCTGTATTTCCTGATTTTTTTTTTGTATGATGTATACCCGCTCCTCTCTGTAATGCTTCGGCCTTGAGAGTAAATAAATGAAATGAAATGAAATCTAAAACAGAAAACGCACGCGCACAAAAAGTGCAATATTAAATACAACGGTGCGAAAATCGGCATCGTTTTATTAAAACGCGGGGCCTTTTGCCGCATGGATCCAAGCCTCGTCGCCTACCAAGCTCACGCCAATTCACTGCCCGTGCGAGTGTTCTTTGTACCCGGCTCGGCCGTGACCACAAGCTCGGATAATGCTAGGATCTTCTTGGGTACACAGCTTCGGATAGTGCATGTGCTATGCACTCCTTGTCGTTCCACAGAAGGAGGTTGCAGCGAACATGACGTTTCCGCTGCCCCGTACTAAATGCATACAACACATTTATAGCCGCACCAACAAGGCTATGCCACACGCACTCACTAGAAAGCCAAAGATGCCTATCGCGAGAGATGTCAGCACTAGTATGCCTTATCGCAAACGCCATCACGCATAACCTTTGTATGTTTGCCATGCTTACCAGCATACTCATGCCAAAGTTAAAATCTCTCTCTGAAATTTCCATCTGTCTCGGAAATTCAGCCGTTAGAACATTTAGAACGGGTGCGTATTGTATTACCATTTTACGACACGCAAATTAGTGAACGTGAGCCCTGCTACATTAACAACGGCGGTGTGCTGACCCGGCCTCTATTCTACTGGCTATGTCGGCAGCGTTTGTGAAAAGGTTCCACTCGCTCGAATCAACTGCTGGCACACTCACGAAGTTTTTTGCGTGAAACAGAGTTTGAGTAGGTGCTTACCTTTGCTCATGTTGAATGTCCATGTTCAGCCAGCAGCGTTGTAGCCAGCGGACAAAATACAGCAAAACGCAACAACTTGTCGAGTGCCCAGCCTCAGCACCCGCCCGCACCAACGTTTACACAACGTTGGCCCGCACAGCGTCTGGGAAACTGAATTGGATTGGATAATGCCTCGTAAAGATTGCCAACAGAGCATTTATTTCCCACTAAAATTACCGCAGCTGAGACATTTTGCAGCTAGTCGAGCATTTTGGCGCAGCGTGGTGCAATTTCAACAAAATTCAGTGTGGCTCAAAGAAATGAAATTGTATCAAAATGGTGCAATTAGCGCAGCTGTAGCAATCCTGCTTCTGATAAGCTGAATTTCTGATAAGACAAACAAATTTTCTCGATTCTTTCATGTTTTTATTAAATAGCACCTACTGTGCATGCCTTCATTCCATAGAATACAGCATTATCCCTTCATGCAGTTTGAAATGCTTTTCATGCATTTTTGAAGATTTTAGAGGGTATGATGATATAGTAATCTGTATCAAAAATACACTGTCAACATTGATGCTTAAACAACAAAACATTTCTGAGCCTGCCTGTTTTATGCTGCCCATGTATACAAAACATGACCAGGCAGATGCTGCTGAATTTGTAAGTGGCTCGCAGGTTGCAAACTTTCCTCAAGTTAATGTCCACTGATGCATTGCAAACTGGACTTCTAAGCATGCATTAAAAGTTTTTGGTAAAGGGCTTGCAATGATGTCTTGCATGAGGCTACTGCATGGACCTCTCTTGCTGTCCCCAAAAGTGAAGGTAGGCTTCTTCTTCTCCAAAATTCATCTAAAAATTTGTTCACTAAATCAATAAATATGAAATACCGTATGTGGGGAAAAAAAGACGCGGCTGAATTTGTTCTGACCACTCGTGAACAACTGGCTTCTGCAGAAATGTTTTCAGTGTCAGAAGCCCAGTTACTTTACACAAAGTGTATAAGATAGAAAAAGCATGAAACTACAGTAAAACCTCATTAAATCGAACTTGGTTATTTCAAAACACCGCTTAATGTGAAATATTTATGTGGTGCCGTATTTTGTAATATTAAAAGTCTGAGTGGATAATTCAAAGTGGCGGTCAGCACCAGTCCAGTTAATTCGAAAACTTTGGGTACCATTTGCCGTTTCCTGATCTCGATTTTGCCGCAAATCCACGGAAACGACGACCCCTAAGAACCACAAGGCAATGCAGAGTAGTGATACTAATGAGTGGCAGCTGGAGCACCCCAGCCTCATTACTTTCAGAGCAAAAAAAAGGAGGAAAAAAAAAAGAAAAACCGGTCTCGTGGTCAAGTTAAAAGTGCGCCTACGAAATACAAAACATGCTTCACTGCAACACAGCAATGACGCGCGGTCAGTGTATTGCATGCTTCTCGCAATGTCAGCGTGTCACAATTTACCCATTCTTCTAAGGAATATAAAGAAATGAATAAAGAACAGTTTGGCAGAATTAGTGATGTATGCGAATCTCTGATTGCGGCTTGCTCCAGCAATATGCGCACTTACACTGCTGGCATAGTTCTTGTCTACTACGCCTGCTTCGAAAACTAAGTTCGAAAGCTTCTATGATCATGCCTTCCAGCCATAACACATCGCGAATTTCGTCACACTGGCTATTATTAAATTCTTTATTTTACCAAGAAGAATGGGCGAATTTTCGCATCTTGACGTGCTGACGCAGCGAGGAGCAGGAGACATGCTGCCTGTGTGACATTACGGTGTTGCAGTGCAGATGTCTCATAAAGCAGGCGCGCTTTTCAGTTGATCACGACAGCTCCCAGCCCCCTTTTTTTTTCACTGCCAGCCCTCAGGCCCCCTATTCCCCCATGCTGGCGGCAAAATTTATACCAGGTAATGCTGGGAAACATAACCCTTGGAGCCGCAAACTAGCCGGTACAGCGAACGACCAGCGAAGATTACTTCGAATAATTCCAAGTTTCTTGCATCCCACTTTTTGCATGTTCTGTTCATTCAAAAACCCGCTCAATTCGAAGGTTACTTACGGCCCCAGCTACTTTGAATTTACGAGGTCTTACTTTACTTTAAAAGTTCTTAATTCCTAGTGCTACTGCAACTTTGAAAGCAAATACAGTATAACCTAGAAAGAAAAAAGGTCTATACTTTAGGCTGCAGTGTGGCTACTAGGAGCGCGATACTTTGGGAGTTGTCTTGTGCCTTCTCTTGAATATATTGTTTCAACAGCCGCCTACACTGACAGTGCATGTTGCAAAACAAGCGCAAACTCACTCACTTCTCCTTCCACTTGCGTGCCATGTCACGGTGGTGAATGTCGTACTGGAGGGGCATGTAGAACTCAGACTCATCAAAATCCACGCCAAACGTGTCCCAGAAGGGCCCGAAGGGATTGCCTTCCTTGGCCTGGCAGCTCTGAGCCGACGCACGAGCTTGGTAGCAGAACACTGCAACCGAGAATGCGGTGATGCTACAGGCTCAGGCTGCTTTGGAGTAGCTTTTGAAGCAGACAAAAATGCGTTTTCGAGCAGTAAAACTGGCTTTCAGAGCAGGCATTGCTAAAAGCAAATTTAGGACATGTGCCGCGTTCACGACAGACGACCGATAAAAGCACTATGTCTTGCACGCTGAAGCATTATAAAACTATAAAAAAACATCGAATTATCAATAACACCCGTGGCTAGCCCGACTATATTTAGTGTACAAAGGCAATGGTCAAACATAGAAACACAGCACTTCATTATGAAATTACTGAAGATGGCGTAATTACCACAGATGAGTATGTCCATACCTGTACACTAAACAACACCGAAGCCTCCGTGATTGCACCTCTGTTAACAAAGGTGTTTAATCTATAACAACTCGTTGACCAAACGTTTTTCAAAATGCTACCCGTGACCATAAGAAACAGTTTAGTATATTTTAAATCATTTGCATGAGAATTGCTTGGCTGTCTCAAAGTCTGAACATTTTTGGATACAGGGCAGTTGGTGAATCAGCCCTAGAGTAAGGAATGCCCTGAAGCATCATTCCATGCACAAAAATAGTCGCTACATTTTGCCATACGATGAACAAACAGAACATTTTCTGAACTCGCGAATTCCAAAGTTGGCTGGATTGTCTTTGATCACTGCAGCAAGCGTCTTGATAACGTTTCATAGCCATGGCATGCTGGAAATTTATATATCCACTCCCCCCCCCAAATACAATTTGTCGGCTACCCAATCTTTCAGATATGCGTGAAATTCAGATGCTTTCATGGCACCATCACGAACCAATATGCGATAGCGTCTTAAATTTCAGACATCAAAGAGTTTAAGTATCTGATTTTTATAACTTCTTGTCCACATGTTCAAAACAACATCAAATACAGCCCCACCTTATGTCTACCATCTCGTATGCTTTAATCGGCACTTTCCCAAATGTAGGGTAGCCTACCGGCCATAGTAGACTCCCTACCTTTCCTTTCCCTCCTGTTTCTTCGCAAGTTGACTTGTTTGCTATCGTAGCCAATGTCCGTAAGCCAGCTTTACCGTAGTGCTTAATAATGGGTAAGGGCTGAAGCAGACTAAATATCCAAAGGGACCACCATCACGGCTCAATACGGTGATGCCTTTACGAATAAGCACCGGAAATGTGCGGAGATGTGATAGCAACAGGCGGCAAATGCACCAGTGTGACTAATCGTTGACAACCCTTCCCCATGAGCATTTTCAGCTAAGCGCTCGGCAGTACATGAGCCCTAGCACCACTGTGAGTGTACTCTTGGTTTTAGTAATAGACAACTCAAACGTCCCGCACCACCGTTCATTATGCTGCTTATTTGAGGGAGACCGCCAAGTATGATGGAGAGATGCACTACATTTATGAACGAAAGGAGCTGGCCATCGCTGAGCCCATGTGTGGTCAGGAGTGGAGTGGGCATCAAGAACACTTTCACGACAAATGCGTGCGTACTGTACAGCACTGCCCCACCAGCGACGGCATCAGATTGGTTCGCATTGTGCTGCACACAGCTACACTCAAACCTCGATATAATGAAACCGGATATAACAAAATATCGGTTATAACGAAGTAAGTAAAAAAATTGTCTTGCAGTAGGTAAAGTGTTAGCAATAACCATTCATCATAAATTTTCAGATATAACAAACTTATTTTCGTGTAAGATGCAACTTTGTTATAATGAGGTTTAAATGTAGAAACGATCAGCTTCACGTGGCAGCAAATTCTGCGTGTCGATGGAGATTTTCATACAGTACTGCATCGGTTATGTACATGCACGCACACATTGGAGAAAGCCACATGAGTGGTCTGCTTTTGGATTCTGTGCTTTGCCAATATTGCCAGCACTCATCACGAGACACAAATTTACAATCGGCATTTCCATTTAGTTAATTCAGAATGCATTCATAACAGCCCAAGTGTGCACCAAAATACCTAATAAGTGTACTGGGAGGCGATTTGACCATTTGAGCAGAATAAAAAGCATCAATTCATTTTTCTTCTTGTTTTTTGTTTTTTTACTCCAACTTTTTGGACGATTTCGTGGTCTCTAAAATGTCACAAAAATCAGACCGTTCCCTGCATCGTGCACAATGACGGCGTCAGGCATAGTTTGTCATGTCTATTCCGAGCCTCGAGATACAGCTTCGGGCCAACACAGCGAGCCGAGGAGGTGGCAGTTAGGCACGGCCTGACCACCTTCCCTCTGTGAAAAATACTCTTCTTCACTTCAATAAAGCTTTTTCTCCCTTTCTTGGCTCAACGTCCTACGCAGGTGCACCGCAATGTCGCTTTTAATGGGAGAACCTAAAGTAGTTAGTTTCATTTCTAAAACTCGACATACACTCTTTGGCGCAGGTTGGGCCCACAGTCACTAAATTCTCAGTAAATGCAGCAGGAAATGTGGCAGCTAGAGCACTTGGGCGCAATTTGGCGCAGTCGGTGCAGCGGTAGCATCACTGAGAATGCCACTGTACTGAGGGTATGCACCCAGAGCCTCCAAAGCACCACTACTTATACTATCACATAAAGGGGCAATATGCCTTTTAGCTTCAGAGCCCACCTTATAGCATAGCTTATAATCGCAGTGTTACTACTCACTGAGATTCGGAGCCATATGTGGAGCAGTTGCAACACTTTTATACACATTTCAGAGAACCTTGGTGTCATAGTGCTGCACATATCCAATTTGAACGCTTAATATTGACAATCATCCCAAAATGTACTACCTTGCTTTCCTGCACTGTCTATAAATACAAAAAGCGAATGTTACATGTGGATATTTTTTCAATTGTTAAGCGACAACCAACATGACACAAGCTGTACTATTCATTTTTCTCAAGTTAACAAAGATACACAGTCACTGACTTTATTTGTTCTACGGCTTGTCACACACAACTTGTTTGCATGTAATATAATGGTGTGTCTGTATTAGCACTTTGAATTGGGCTGGTTGGTACATAATAAATTTGAACAAAAAAAATAACAGTGCTAGAACATGACAAAGACACGAGGACATAAACACAACACTCACACGCACCACAGAACTTGCCCTGCTCAAAAGTTCAAGATTTAGGTTGCATTCAACCAGAGACAGTTCTATGCCGTAAGGGGTGGAAATGCACTGTCCCTGCAAATGGTGATGCACCTCATTTCGAAAACAAGGTAGAGTCAACGTGGTGTGCCACAGGAACGAGAGCCAACACATCAACTATGGTCAGATCTCTCATTTAAAGATTCAGAGCCTGAATGTCCAGCCCAACAAGGCAGAATGTCCAAAAGAGATGAAATGTCCGATGAGGTGGAATGTCTAATACAAATTGTCCAACTGAAAACGGACGAATTTGCTCAATTTAAAAATTGCCCGACAACTACTTTATCGGAGATTGAGTTTGATTGAATACAAGACAGCATTAGTCAGTCGGCTAATATGAAAATGTTTTATACCAGGGTCTGCCTAGTAGTCTTAGCTCACATGACTAGGTCCACAGACATGCAAGTAGGTCACAAAAAAAATAGTAAAAAGAACTCTGACGAATGTCAGCCAATCAGAGAATCAAACCTCCAACTCTATGTATCTCGAGCAAGCACACAAGGCAGGCGCATTGACGTCTAAGCCATGAAACAAAACAGTTTTTCAGTGCAAACCCACAAGATAGTTTCTACGTCCCACCATGCTTACTGGTCTTGGAAGAGATGGTGTCACTATCTAAGAGCTGTGCAGTGAAGTACTACATCATGAAAAACCCTAATGTGTGCCGAAGCACTTCAGGTACTTCTCACAAGAGGCTCCAATGAGGTGCAGAGCACTGTTTAGCTAACAACGCACATTAGCAATAGATTCTGGTCCATGTTAGGTTAGCTAATTGCGTTTTGAGTGCAGTTTCAACAGGCAGCAGCACTGTTCCCATATTGCTTATTGTTCATTTGCAATGGTGCCAAATGAGAATACTGCTACCATAGCACCACAGAAAAGCAGCAGCATCTGTAGATTAATCTCTTTAGCTCTTTCGGTAGTGCATTAAAATAGTTATTTTTCTTACGTCTCGGGAAGAAAGATTTCGATAGTTTCAGAAGTACTCTAGCACGCATCCCAGCATACCGAATTTTGCAAAATGAAATCATTTTTCCAAAAAATTGTAGCACAATAAAAATATTTTGTAATTAATAAAAATGTGGAAGGTGTGTAATTTTTGGTTGCCAGCTGATAAACAGTGCAATAAAAAACACTTTATATGCAAAAATATTCAAACTAAAAAATTCTGAATATACATTTTGAATGTAAATTACCCATCAATAGTATGAAAAATAATAAATGTTCATTAAAATGTACCTATAAACGTAAAGAAAATCAGAACCGAAGTGCTGCTTCAATGCTTCTGCCATGCAGTGAAGTATTGTTTAGTTCTTAGTGAGACACTGATGAACTCGTACACTTTTCTCATTAATTTTTTTCTTTGGTAAAAGCCTGCAGGTGTTTTAATATAGATGGATGCCCATGATGTGAACAATCCCTCTATAAATAATATATTTAATGAACTTCACTAGTTCGTCTAGCGTCACCTTTTTCCATGAGCGACCACTCTCTGCATAGATTAGTGTTATAATATACGTATCCAAGCATATTTATTTGTACTTATGCAGATAGAATCCAAAAAAGAAAGAACGATATCGCACACAGTCAAAATGTTTCGCGCCGCTTGGTAGTCAAAGCCAAGATGTGCTCCAGTGGCCTTTCTGCGAAAAGCTCTACAGCCGGCACCAGCACACAGCGCCCCAGCAATGTGTGGACCTCGCACATAACCAGAATAGCTATAACATTGTGCACAAAAGTCAGCAGCTACGCAGTTTCGGTGGAGGAGACAACTTGAGGGTTTAAAAAAAGCCAACCCCTGAATTGCAGCAGACGTACCAGGTCGACTCCAAATGTTGTCACCATAAAAGTTGAAGTTGAAGTGCTGTCATCTGAAGACTCGAGCTTGTCATCGCTCAATTCAGGTGTGATCGCAAGACAGTTTCGAGCGGCACCCATTTTTTGCAGCGCATGTGCGCATGGTGACGACAACTTAGGAGTAACTAGTGGCACTGGGTGCCTGATATATTGATACAAGCAAAGTCAAAGCTGCTGGAAACTGGCTGAGAGGGTGACCTGCATACTTCATGTATGTGGTGGACCTTTGAAAATATTTACAGAACATTGATGTAGCCCTAGCATCACCACAAGCGGCAAGCACTTCTGTAAAGTTCATCAGCCAAGTGCATTTTCCCAACCACACACGCACATTAGTTCACGCAAAGGTCTGTCGAAAATCACAATGTTGCAAAAACAGGCGAATTCAAACATACTAAAAGTTAAGTGGCTGGACTAACTGCTACTAAAGTGCTGGGTGCACAAAAAACAAATTCAACATGCCAAAATCAACAATTCAAAGCATCGATCACAGGTGATCGATTCGATCAGGTGTGGCAATGAAAGAGTTAAAGTAATTACACTGGACTAGCAAATGAACTCTACCATAAAAAAAACTTAAAGCTATCAGGCCTTGCACCCACACAGCCTGAACACATTCCTCATGAAGGCACAAAACCACCATTGTCACAGATGGTTAGGAATACATAGGAAGCACTGTGGTCTCTACCTTGTGTCAAGCTATTCCAGCCACTGAGATGTGAAGAACTGCTATCCTGTGACCATGTTCTTCGGATACCATGAAAAACTCCACCAAGAGGACACTTCGTCGGTAGCTACTCAACAAACACTACAGCTTTTTCAAAAACAATAGTTTCTAGAGCTGTGCAAATAGCAAAATTTTGAGTGTGAAGTGAATTTGAATAGTGAAGTATGAGTGCAAATTGAATTGAATATTTCTCAAATATTTCTACACATATCCAATTTGAACGCCGCGGTGGTCTAGTGGCTAAGGTACTCGGCTGCTGACCCGCAAGGCGCGGGTTCGAATCCCGGCTGCGGCGGCTGCATTTCCGATGGAGGCGGAAATGTTGTAGGCCCGTGTACTCAGATTTGGGTGCACGTTAAAGAACCCCAGGTGGTCTAAATTTCCGGAGCCCTCCACTACGGCGTCTCTCATAATCATAGAGTGGTTTTGGGACGTTAAACCCCACATATCAATCAATCAATCAATCAAATATTTCTAGAATATTTTTCAAATAGTTTGAAGTGAAATCGCTGGTAAAAAAGTTGGACAGGATTCCTAGGCATCCTCTTATGAGATATAGCAACATGAAAGTGTTTCTTTTCGCTAGGTTGATGAAGGGCTGGCAGGGTAGTACTTGATAGTTGTCTTATCAAGAATGAGACAATGCGGCAACCAAAAGTGTTGCCGACGACACTTTGCACATGAAAGGCAAAGATGCCATTTTTTTTAGCGACTCGTGCTCTTTTAACTTCTGTAAAATCCCTACAGATGCGACATACACGGTTGTGCTCCCTTCGAGTTGGGAGTTCCAAATCTGCCTCGTCGACGTCAACGTACAAGAACATTCGAAATTTTGGATGCTAAAAATCTTCAGCGTCTGATTTTTTTTTACTTTCTGCCCAAATTTCAGGTCTAAAGCAGCAATTAAGGCCCTACCTCTGTCACATCTATCATCACCAGTGTTTTCTTGAATCGATACATTTGTGATGTTAGTGGAGCCTGAAAGACAGCTTTGCCACAACAAAAATGTGATGAAGTTAAACATTGTACATGCCTGAAGGAGTCCCTTTCAATCGGACGTTGAGTTCATTTGTCTCTGGGAAGTTCGAATAGTAAAAATTACTGTGCCAAGTGCCAATCAAATCTAATAGCAAACATTTTTTAAAAATATTCAAATTTTCAAATATTTGCACACCACCACAGTTTCTTAATTAAACCCACAATACTTATACTAGCGTTGCTGATATAAATATAGGCAATTAGCAGCTGCATGTTTCGTAGAAAATGCAGCTTCTCAGATATCTAAAAGGCACCTAGCAATATTGATTGAAATTAGATGCAAGCTGCATCAGTAAATTCAGCTTGCGTTCTGCACCAGGCAAAGATGACGCTCAGAGATTTTTATGCGCTTCATAAAAAATATGGGAGAGTCTGAGGCTTTGATGGGAGTGCTCATTCAACAGCCGGGGAAGCGCACCAACTGAAGCCCTACTCACCGGTGCGGTTGCCTGGAGGCCAAATGGAAGGTGCCAGATCTTTCATGAACTTCTCCATCGTGATCACCCGGTGATATCTGGTCAGTGGCTCCACCTTGAAGTACGTGTCAAAGGGCACCTGAACCTGGAAAGAACCAAACAGTCAGCCATTGGGAACAATAAGACCAGCACTATGTCTCCTGAACTATTAGCCGACTGAAATCGGTAGTACCACGAGGAAACAAACAAGAAAATTTAACTCACTGACTTGGGTTCCCCTGGCCGATATTCCACCCATGGTGGGAGGACTAGGGTGCGGTCCAATGCTCGGCTGAAGGCTAGTGCCCCGAGAAAGTGGTCTGCCTGGTTCCCGAAGCGCCCTGTCATCCAAAGAATAAATGTTGTGTGCAATGGTTTGATCAGTGCATCCTTTACAACAACTCCTCCCAACCTAAATGCCCCAGCACAACACTTGGGCAGCTCACATTCCTGTGGAGAGATATCTGAGCTGCTGAATTCTCATGGCACACGAGCACGATAGACCACACCAGTGCTACTGTCGGTGGCTCTTGCATGTATTATCCGTCCTCTTGTGCAGGTCTTCTATGTTCCATTTGAAACAATGTACAGGAAACCACACAAAGCTGAACAAGCTCAAGATGCAGCCACGTAGTCAAAGCCATACACATGGTGCTGTAGCACAAAATCCACCACAGGAACAAAAATGAAACCATATTTACTTGAAAAAGTGGCAGGTGCATGCAGTTAAATACACTCCATAAAATTATACTGTTCCGCCATGAAACATTACCTTAGGACTGGTTTCTAATGATAAAGTAAATGAGCCAAGCTATGTTCCACAAATAATTATTCTTAGTGATTCCATCACCCAAACATCAAAGCGCATGAAGGGGACATTTTGTTAGAAAAAGACTACAAGCCCATAATTTCCTAAAATTAACTAGATGGGACTGTGGCACTGCGATCGTTGAGCAACCATGGGAATTATGGGTAGTACACGGATTTGCCAACTTTTTGTGCTTGCGGGCAGTGAATAGCACTTGTGGCTTCTTTTATTACTGTTTCAGCTTTGTTTCGAATGAAAGAACAAACAGTTTTGAATTTCGTGGGCCGATTTCAATTAGTGATCCTAAAAGGTGAAAGTGGTGACGCGCAACCACCGAACAATTGCCGATAATTGTTTCGCAACAAAGCAGCTTCAAGCCACGCGAAGCCACAAAGAACGTAAAGTACGAAGACTAGGCAAATCCGTCTACTACCCATAATTTCCGTGCTCGCTGAAGCTACAAGTGTTGCAGGTTTCATAGACGCTAGGGCCAGAGTTCCCTCTGGTGTACATATGGAAAACTCAATGACAAGGGGTGAAAAAGCCGAAATAGAATTTGGAGCAATTTTCGGAACAGCAGAATCTTACTTTTGGAGCAGTAAAATGCAAATCTGGAGCAGGTTACGGGAAATAAAACATCTATTTTTTATCACGAAAGACTAAATTTGTAGCAAAGAAGGCTTAAATATAGAAAAAAAAAGTATGTTCAAGCCATTCAAGTTCACAGAAACCCTGCAGAGTAAACATGAGCACTGCTGTTTCAATAAAAGTAGTATTTCGATCTATCCCAATGTGCAAACAATGACAAAGTCCACATTAGCACTTGCCGTGTCTGTCAAATATTTTGACTGAATCCCTGAATTAAAATGTATATCTGGGAAGCTGGCGACCTTGCAATTCAAGGGACTCGTGAAACTGAGGAGTAGGGGTGGCGGAAAAAAAACTTGCACTTTTTTTTTTTTTTTTGGGGTGGCAGAAGTGTCATACACTGCTTTGAATGATTGCCAATAACTTTTTCGAACGTCACCAATCACACTAGTGCTCAGAATTATGTGGTAGTATACACGCATAAATAATTGAATAAAGCTTGCTGTTTGCTGTCTTGTGAGTAGTGTAAACAGCTCCTTCCAAATCGTAATACGCTTTTCCGTAAAGCAGCAGTGTATTGCGAAGAAGGTGGTTTTATGTGCAGTTCTGCATGGGTTAGAATAAGGCCAAGAAATATTTTTCGAACACCGCTACGCCCCCTCCCCCCCCCTTTTTTTTTTTTTTTTTTTTACGATGGGTGTTAGGTTTAGGGTACAATATCTCGGTTTGTTGCAAGGCGCGTTCTACCAGATAAAGTAACAGCAGCGCATGCCCGTTGGCCCGGCGACAGCACCGGATATTGCCGGGACGACGCAACTAACGCAACTGATAGACAGAAAAATGTTTTATGTGCCAATGCTATGGCGACCAATGTGGTCACCGGAAACGCCGGTGTTCAGAGCATGTCGACTCTGTTCACGCACGAAAAACTGGGTATGTGCTCCCAACTCTAGTTGCTAACATACCATAACCACTTTTTTTTACTAGGAAGTTCATATTTTTCGTGAAGCGTTCGTGGCTACGACAACGCATTTTTGTCTTGAAGTTGCGTCGTCCCATCGATAAATATCGGTTGCGGTCAGCAGACCGATAGGCGCGTGGCTTTGTTACTTTATATGGTCGATCGTGCCTCGCAAGTACCCTGACCTAATGGGATTAAGATTAGCGTGGTTAGGTTAGTGACTTGAGGTTAAAGTCTGCGCGCTTGGATTGATTGGTGACTCAAACTACAGGTGGGCAACGTATGTGGGGTCCATTTTTCGCTGAAATTAGCACAACTGAGTAAATTTTGAGGCTGGTCGGGCAAATAGAAAGCTTCAATTCCAATTCAAGGGAAACAGAGGGAACACGAAGAGAGCACACATGTTGTGTTTTCTGCCTATCCGTGTGTTTATTTTGCACCTTTAGAATGACACACGCAAGACCCAACGAAACTCGCACCAGTGATAATATGTGCCCAAGTTGAAAGCCTCACGCAATGTTCCACAGAGCCTAAAACGCCCCACCCCCCCCCCCCCCCCCCTGATCCATCATGAGCCTTGCCCACTACAAAATATGGCGGGCATTTTCATTCTGGCTTGAGCTGTGATCACTGATATCCTCACAAAATTTCACTGACATGCCGAACATACAAAGCGCAGGGCAATGTTGGACCTTAATATAAAACCTCATGGTGACAATGACCTCATGGCTGTGGAAGGATGCCTGTGGACGGAGTGGCACTGCCCGGTTCATTCGCAGCTATGTATACAGGCTTGAGCCGGTCAATCGAGACGCTGACCGCATCCCCGTTCAGGCGCAAAGTGAATTTCTTGTAGTCGCGATGGACAACTAGGTAGAGTCTGCTGTAGGGTGGCTGGAAAGGCCAGCAGACGTTGCTGTCATGGAAAAAAGCTAGCTCCTTGAATACAAAAAGTGTAGGCTTGCTGTGGTGGGCTGCAGGTGACAGGCATAAGGCGGGAATGATGCGTCAGAGCCGGGCAACGAAGTCGGTGGGGTCTGACATCATAGTGCTGGATGGCAGAGCTATGAGAAATTCACCTGAAAGACAAAGTGGTTTCCCGTTGACGAGCTCTGCTGGTGTAGCATGGATGTCCAGCTTGAAGGCGGCACAAAGACAGAGAATAACAGCTGGGATGGCCTCAAGCCAGGTTGAGTCCGAGTGGAACATAATGGCTGCCGGTGGAAACCCTTGATCCTTCCATTGCCGCACGGGTAGTAGCTGGTGGTTTTCAAGCATTCAAAACCGATATTCAGACCGAGGAGCCTGAATAGGTGCGACTCGTGTTGTCCTTAGTAGGTGGTTACACAGCGAGGAGCGCCGAAACGAAAGTTCAGTAATCGTTACTCCATCGCGGACCCCTTGCCAAAGTGCCAAATCAGAATCAGGTTCATTTGATGTGAGCCCATCAGTCGAGCGAGAAGTTACTAGTTCGGACGCAGAATCTGATGAAAAAGCAAAATACACAAAGGCAAGACTTCTCTTCCTTTACGGTCAGGCTGGAAAAATTACGCTAATTTTTAAAAAATAGGTTGACCTGAAGAATTTAAGTTGGAATAGAAAAATGTTTTCCTAGGGGGGTCGTATTTGCTTTATTTATATATTTATCTGTCAATCCCATCAAGGATCATCTTATATTGAATCATATATGGTGAAAAAACAAACGGCCCTCAAAGGCTTAAGAATGGTTAATTTCTAGCAAAAACCCATTCAGTTACGTTCCAGCTCACTGGTCTCAAATTAACTTTTTTCTTACGTATTCACAATTTTTACAAACCTAAGGCATCTTAAAAATGGCCAGAACATCTTACAAGATGCTGGTGCAAGTGGAGGAACTGTAAATTACTGTGGCAGTGCCGAACATTCTCTAAGAAATTTCAATATGATTTTACTTATTAATTCCATTTGAAAGTCACAAAAATCGGCCTGGCAGCAAGTCACAAGCCTGGCAGCAAGCTTTGGCATTGCATGAATGAGTCGTTCGCTGAGCTATACGCTAGTCTGCTTTAATTCATGTGAGCCACAATTGGTGATTGTAATTACAGTATAGTTATATATTGATGCGTGTCTACATGTGGACGAAAACAATGATGGGGGATTTAGTGGACACGAGGTAGTAGGCCTCTAGCTTCACTCAAGACCGAAAAAGACGATCTTGTGGCTCAGCTGTTGAAAACACGCTGCTTTCGTTGCTTCAAGGTGTACCTGTGTTTTATTCGCGTTGTACCGCGACAATATTAGGCATCCTAACATTATTCTATGCTTACTACGAAGTAAAAGAAATAAATGATGAGAAGGGGCACTATTTTTGCATCAAAAAGTGGAACTATATCATTACACAGTGCAGGTGCATGGCATGCACACATGCGCAGAAAACCGCAGCTACAGCAGCAGAGCACATAAACAGCTCTCGTGCTCACCTACCATTGTGTGCAGCATGTGTTGGCACTGCAGCATCGGCACTGCAGATAGAAAAAAGTCTGATCAAAAATGTTTCACAGTGTTTTCTGCATTACCACTTTACGATCAAACTTTTTGACCGGTAAGCCTTCTGTTGCACTCCGAAAATTTGTTGTCAGTCGCAAAGAAAGCATGAAATAAGCATTGCCTGATATCTGTTTTTCTTTCTTCATCGATGAATGATTCGTTGCATTCAACTCCGTAAATAAAACCGAAAAGCACACATAAGTGAAACTGATTCAGAATATTGGTACTCCAGCATTAACTCACAAAAACACTCAAGGAGTAAAAACAGCCAATCGTTGCCTATTCGGTAAACTTGTAAATTAATAAGACACTCAAAAATTGAGCCCATTTAAACCACAAAACAGGGCCCCTTATATGAGCAGTAGCATTGGTGCCGCAAATAAAGTTCCCTTGTTCGAAACCCTCTGCACTGGTGAATCAATTTTGCTGACATAGGTCTAAAGACTTTAGTTACCCAG